TCCTGTGGTACGCGCTACAGCAGACTCACCTGGTTTTGCCCATCTGGCAGTCAACCCAGCCCATCTCGGGCCCAAATGTCAGAGTCGGCGCACGCGCCTCAAGCATAGCGCGTCCATCTAGTCTGAGAGACTGGTGGAGGGCCTGTAAGAGGAACTCGCGTTCTGGGATGGACGGTGATGGCGGTCTCATCGCAAAAAACGATCTGAACGCAGATCACAGCCACCGCGTCGATCTCTCTCTTTCACCGCGTCGACGACCATGGTCCGGCTCATAACGCACAATCTGCTGGCGTGCCATGTCAAGGGATGTACCTCGAACAACTTTCCGCTCGCGTTTAAAGACGTGCAGATCGAGCTCCGGGAAGCGGAGCTGAACCCCGATTTTCTGCGTGGGTTCTTGCCGAAGATTGAATGGAATGCTTTGGTGGGCGCTGCGATGGAGGTGAGTGCTCGTGTTTGGCTTCAACGTAGCCCAGACTGATCCAAAAACTTTGAAAGTTAGGAGACACATCTTTGCCAGCTGAGAAACCGGAGATGATCGACGACGAGTTCTTGCAGAAATTACATCATGTCCTCCTCGAGGTACCAACCTCTCCAGGTCATCGATCTCATTTGGAGGCTAAGGATATACGTAATTCACAGATCCACGTAGAGGAAGGGACAATGACCTGCCCCAACTGCAATCACGTCTATCCGATATCAAATGGCATACCGAACATGGTGAGTACTTCTGCTTGACATGGCATTTGCTTACCGCTGCTTATAATTCCAATTCCTAGCTACTCGCTGAACACGAGATCGGGTAGCATCGCTAGACGCATATTTTTCAATGGGCATCTTGCAGGATCATCGTGATTGTTGAGGGCACACGATGCGACAAACTGGCTGATCGCGTTGGTGGCACCTCCAGCCTGTGATGGGCTCCTGCTCAAACAGACAAGGATGGTGAAGGCACAACGGCGATGGAGCAGCCTATCAATTTACAGCACACATCACTGTTCATTACTACCAAAATGTTACCAGTGAAATCACCCCTGGCTTCACACCTCTGGCGGCTGTAGCCCGGCCAACCTCTTGCAGGCACATGAGCTGGGACCATTCTGCGACCCAAAAACAAGTAAGTGCGATAAGCAAAAGGTATTCCCGATCGGGGAATCGAACCCCGAGCTGCCGCGGACAGCTGTCTGCTAACCTGAGAGGCGGCAATGTTAACCATTACACCAACCGGGAGTTGATGGGTGGGTTTCAAGCGCCTGCAAGATCCGCAGCTGGATTCAGTAGCCAAGGCCCAGAGTTCTGCAATGGGCAGAGATGCCTGCCCAGACTCTCATCAACCCAAGATGGAAAACCAACTATAAAATAGAGTGATTCACAACCCAGAAAAGATGGTGGAATGCCACATCCGGAGCGACTCGATGGATTGGATTTGAAGGGTCTACAGCATGGAATATTACTTACTCCACTCACGTTGCTCAGCTAAAAAAAAATTGATGAGCACCCTATAGTATACATACATGTTCACTCAGGCCAGAAATAAAAGACTTTCAAAGGCAAAAGTTTTTCCCGATCGGGGAATCGAACCCCGAGCTGCCGCGGACAGCTGTTTGCAAACCTGAGAGGCGGCAATGTTAACCATTACACCAACCGGGAGATGTTAGTGGATCTCACAAGGCCGATATATCTCCAGGAGTGCTGATGGAGTAATGAAAGCATGACATGCACATATCTTACTGTAGACTACCAACATTGGTTTGAAAACATTTAGAAGGAAACTGCATAAAGGTATACCATATCCAAGTGCTCGAACATCATACTGCCCCGCCGTGATTTCTCATCGTGACCACGAGTCCTTTAGCCTTCTGAACCTAAAATCGCGGCCCGAGGCTCTTATCTAGTACTTACTGCGAGCCAGCTCTGCACGTTGCCTCTCTCGCCTCTTTCACCATCGGCCCGACACGAGCGAGCATATCGCCCTCGAAGGCACGCAGCGCACTAACTGTCGCATATTCATTCCGTCCAGACGCCGCCGCACCTCCGGCTACAGATCCGGCTGAGGAGCCAGCCCAAGTAGGAGGCCCAGCGGGAGAAAACCTGGCGAGAGAGAGGCGCTCGGCAAGGCAGACGGCATCTAAGATTGCAGCGTTTCCACCATCCCCGTTGACTTTTAACCGATACGTTAGGTTTCGTCTGAGCATCGCGGATAAATGACTCACAGAAGGACATGGGGTGTGCCGCGTCTCCGATGAGGGTGATTGGCCCTGCGCCCTCCAGCACCTCCGGTACACGGTCCCGTATCACGAAAGGCGTGAACATGCGCTCCGGCCGCGTACGGAATATGACCTCGCAGAGATCGTAGTGCATCCCGCGCACCGCGCCACGTGCCCACGCGAGCTGCCTCTCGCTCGTTGCCCCGTTCATCCAAGTGCCACCCGGAGAGGACGAAGCGGGGATGCGGTAGCACAGAAGCCAGTGATACTCGGCCCAGCTTAAGTCGGGTGCGTAGGAGTTGAGTCCGACGAGCAGGCGCAGGTTTGGATAATTTGGGTCGCCGGCGTCACCGTGCGCGATGTAGAGAGAGCGCGCGAGGAGAGACTGTCGCGCATATTGGACTGGGGTGAGCATGACAGAGCCGCCGATTGCGCCAATCGGGAGATTGTGCAGCTGTGGTTGAGGGGCAAATGGGGCGGAGAGATTGCGATAGACCATGGTGCGGACGCGCGAATCGATCCCATCGCAGCCCACGAGGATGTGTCCTTGAGTAGAGGAGCCGTCGGTGAAATACACTGTGAATGCCCCGTTGTGCACTTCATGGCCGGCATAGGTGCAGCCCCACTTGACATTTACGCCTTCCGCGAGCCAGTCGAGCAACCTGCCTCGATTCGCCCTCACAAAGTCGAGCGTGTCTGCGCTACCCGAGCTAAGCAGATCTGCGGTACGACCGTCATAGAATACAAATTGATCCGGCTGGCCGGATCCTGCACAGACGCTGATTTTATCAAGGATCTCATTCGCATTGGTGTGCGAGAAGAGAGCGCGCAGATGCGGGAGTGCAGTGTGCAGTGTGAGCGCCCATCCAGAATCCCTGGAGACATTGGCGGGATGTGCGTCATAGATCTCAAAGGAGATTAATTTACGCGCAAGAGAGCGGGCGAGGGTCAGGCCTCTGAGCAGATGTCAGCGCCGCATTGAGAATGCGCAGAGAAGCAGAGGACTGAGAGACGTACCCCAGGCTTGCACCAATTATGATGACTTTGCTTTGTTCGCGGTTTGCATTCATTCTCGTAATTTGAGGTATTCACTGTTGAGTGGACGACATATCAAGACCTCTCCGAGGTATATATATGCATCTGCTCGTTGGGCACCGGCCCAGTTTCGCGAGCATACTATCATGGCTCCCCGGAGGACAAGGCGCATATCAACCACCGAGTCGGACGACCGCCCAAGAGTTCTGGAGGGAGCCGCATTCGAGAAGCCGTTGACATTGTCTATGTGAGCTGAATAGCGGGTTCAACTTGGTTAATGACATCAGGTAAGGAGGAAAGGGCAACGTCCTCGGACTCATCCGTGATGGAACGGCTGTGAATAACACGAACAAACAACCTCTCGCGCCTGAGGCGGGTTTCGGCTTCGGTCATCTGCAATCCTCACCGAACCTGCCGACCTTCCCTCTCGCCTAGCTATCTCGCTTAGTGCTTTGCTGTGGACGGCAATTATGTTTTGGGCTGAATGTTGACTGCCAGCTGGACATCATCGCGCCCGAACATTGCCGGCCGCTCACGGCCGCCTCAATAACAAGCTTGCTCGTCATCGGCGACGCTCGTTCATGATAAGGGCACTGCTAACCGGATGCTGCATCTTGCGGGATGTCACAGGTTTGGACAAAGGGAGTGGTGCAGTTTCAAGCTTCAAGTTTGGGGCGCCCGACTCGGAGCTCTTGAATGTGTCGCGACAACGGCATGATATGCAATTGCGGCGGCCAGCCATTGCTTCGTCAGTCTCAGCACTGCTTATAGAGTAAATTTTTCTGGTTTCACTTCGACTGCCTTTGGTAATGAGACCAATACGACTGGGACTCTGCATCACCTTCAAGAACATGCCACCCTCCCAAAGTACATGTTAGATGCAGTACCATGATGCCTTGGGATAGGCCCCAGAAGCTCCCCGCGAAAATCCCTCTTAGATGACCCTCAAATACACCATTATTTCGCCTGACAAACCTCAAAAAGCCTATTTCTGGCAAGGCAGGTCACGTGTACTCACCTCTACAATTTATCAGCGACATTTTGCGCCACTAGAGCGACAGGCTGTTCCTCACTACACCTCATTACCACGACAACATGACATTGATAAATGAGCTCCGATGTCTGTCAAAATCTCTGCTTGGTATAGGAGACGTGGCATTTGGGACAATATCAACGTTTGTCGCGCTGATGACGAAATTTCTGGCTGGCCTCTGGCCCATCCTGGCCTTCAGATAGCCGATGTTGCAGACAAACCCTGGCCATTTCCGGACAGTTTTGTTCGCAAGAAAGAGGCGATCCTAGACACTCTAAAAGCCAATCTTTCGGACGGACTTTGGGAGAAGCTTCCGGGGGGGCTCGGGATACATAAGGTGGCCGCTCAAACTATTTCATCCCCAAATATTATTCTATTGTGGATAAGCGAAGGCTTACTTTTGACGAATTTTTACAAACAGATATTAACCAAAAGGCTTTGTCGGAGGCCATTCCCACAAGGCAGAGCGCCGAAGTGGTGGTATTGGCTGAATCTGTAACTCCACATAAATGAAGCTTCACTACCTCGGCCACCGTGGCTAACTTACACCAGCTACCTAGATCTTCCGATTTCCGGACCTCTGAACCTGGGGCATGAGGTCAGTGCGCCTCGCCACACCGCCTGAAACTCTCCTAGCTCGTTATAGTATTTGCTTTTGCTTTTACACAACTTGCGCAGACCCGCTGCTAACAGTCTTACTTTCGCAGTTGTAAGAAGACGGGGCCGGGGTCAGGAGGCCGCTGACGGCCTTGAACGTCAACGATCATGACCATTTCAGGGTGTTCATATTTCGTGCCAGGTGATGTCTCATGAGACATGACTCTATAACTTTGGGTGATGAATGCCTCATCCAAAAGTGTAAGACCTCCGTCAAGATAGACTCATGTCTGCAACGTGTCAAATAATTGGTGCGTTTCGACACTGTATTACCGTACACATGCTTATAGTCTAATTCTAACTCTATCACTCCTGTTATAAAGCGATCCGCCATTACACTCAGCATATTGTAACCCTTCTGTTGCCTCTCTTCCTGGGCGCTAAACTACCGTGAAAGCAATTTCCTCTGTCCTCGCCTTTGCTTCTTGGTGCGTCCCTCTCCGCCGGTTGGCCTGCAGTCGCGCTTAGGATTCCTACACAGTTGCATCCCTAACCGGCTATCCCTTCGTCAAAGCAGGTCCGTAAGGGTATATATTCACACTCCGGACCATCCCATCTGCCGATGTCACCTGGTACAGCACGAGATTTGCCTAAACGCTATATCAGTTGATTTGCGAGATTTTTTTGTAACAGTAAGTAAAGCTTGGCTGTGATTCTCCTGATGAGAGTACACATGACGCAAATCCTCGAGGAACGACGCACAGGTTCAATCTTGGCACACGATGCTTCGAGCCGAGCGATCCATGAGAGTTGTATTTTTATTTATTTCCGCGACCCTGATGATCGACAAATCTAGTAAATCGCCAGCCCTGACGTGCCCGCCTTGACGTGTTGTGAGACCGAACCTCAGGTTTCTAACATTACCTCTTTTACATCGCGTTTGATATATACGTCTAAGAGGGGTAAGTGGCGCACTCAAGATTCAGTGTAGGCATGTGATTTACACTTACATGGGTAACAGCTCGGCAAACGAGTCTCAGATCTGAAATGTCATGTTCTTAACATGTACATTTGGAAGATAGCCCGAACACCCTTCACTGGCCTGATCAGAGTATCTGACGCATGCAGGATATCATTTGCTACGGGCGTCGCCAATTTACCATGATTTCAACTTCCACCGGCAGTCAAAGCTGCATACATCGTCCAGTTTAATTTCACAGCATCTAAAACTGCTAAAGAGGGGGCGGCGGGAGTCTCGATTCTCGCCAGTTACTGGCGCTGAATCTCTCGCGTGATCACATGCATCCCGCTCGATCTGGGTTCGCTAAGCCGAGGCATGGCCGAGACCCCATCGAGCG